CGGCATAGCCGGCGCGCGTCGTGTGCGAGCCAAAGTCGACAACGACCGCGGAGACCTCGTCTGACCATTAGCTCGTCGTACGCCGCGAGCTTACCTCCATTGTAGACCATGATGTGTGGATGGATGCGAGTTGCAGTTGTTGTGTTCACGAACCGATGTCGAGATGGACGTGAACAACATGGGATGCCGTCCTGGGTGAGCGCGGCTGCCACGTGGAAAAGTACACGCACAGTGGGATTGGTTGGGTGAGTTTGTGATAAATCTGATCCCGCTGAGGCTATGATGCTCTCGCGCTGTGGAGGGGACTGAGGTCCACACACTGCTGAGCGCGACGAGGGGCAGGCTGCGGCGACGGAGGGAGATGGGAGAGCGTCGGCATTCTGTTGTTGTTGTCACGACCACATATATACACCCCCTCTCACAGTCTCTTGTTCTTAACCCCCACCTGTCCGCGGGCAGAACGCAACGGCCAACATGCCGCCGCTCATGCGCTTCCCCGCGCCCGCTCTCCCGCAGCTCTTCTCCCCGGGCCTCGACATGGAGAGCCTCGCGGCAGCCAACAGCCCATACCGACAACCCGCACCTCCGCCCCAGCTGCCCATGCTCCAGCTCCCAGGCCGCCATCAGGAGCCACTGTGGTACGACCCAAACGACGACAAGCAGGCAGGCCCCTCGTGTCCGCACAAGAGCAGGTGGCCGGCCTGCGGAGCCCATGTGTCGGCAGAGAAGAGGCTCGCTGCGTTCACCGACGACGAGGTTGAGCAGATCAGCCAGGACATCGGGCTCATCGTCCGCAGAGAGTTTGACTCGTGGGTCGAGGCGTGCTGGTGAGTAAACCTTCATCGCAGGCGTGACATTGGGAGCACAAGCTCGATCGACATGAGCATCACAATCCCGATCTGATCTGCCGCACACTGACTATTGGATCTGATCACTGACAGACGCAGGACGGAAGCGTTCCATCACGTCTTCACGCGCACGATCCCGACGTTTCTTATCTCGCTCATCCTAGCGGGAGCATCACCAACGTTGATGCGGAAACACATCGTTCATGGGGGACCAGAACTGGACCGAATATTCATGTCCGACATGCTCGACCATCTGTACGCGGAACTGGAACGACGGCTGTCCGGACGGCTAGATGTGGGCGTGCGAGGGGAAGTCGCGGATGCTGCTCCCCTAATCGGAGCTGGAGGGCTAGGAGCGCAGCCGCCCGCCGTCCCGCCAGGTCTTCCGCGCGACGGAGTGTGCACGTACGACCTGGGTCCATCACACGGCCGACCGCTAGAGGAGGACGAACACGCGGCCTGCCTGTGCCAGCTGACGACATGCCTGTCGTGTCTGTCCGAGGCGGCTTTGAAGCGCAAGACGCCGGTCGGCCTGCTGCCGTACGAGCTGCGCGACTCGCCCATGGCGATCCGGTGGCAGGGCCGTATCGAGACACAGGCGCAAGCGCGATCGCGAGCATGCCCAGAGCCGCCAGAGCGCAATCCGCCAGCACCGCTACCAAAAGGCGTGGGGTTCCAGCGCGTGACGCGTTCGCCAGCGTCGAATCCAGCATCCCGGCCCCAGATCTTCCCGCATCCGCAAATGACCGACGTGCTCGCTGTCGAGGAGCACCTCCGCTGGCGGCTGAAGGAAATGGGCGCGGTCGATCCCGCCGTCGAGGCGCGGTACGGGCCTAGCACGAACGCGCCCGCAGCGCTTGAGGGCTTGGAGTCTGCCCTGAAGCCGCTTGACGAGGATGGCAAGAGCGACGCCAACGGCAAGAACGGCCGCAAGATGACGACTGGCCGAAGCAAAGCCCGCTTCAACAAGTCGGTCAAGGCGCCGCCCAAGGCCAAGACGCCTGCGAAGAAGGTCTACCTCCCTGCCGAGTGGGCGGAGATGGATCCCAACGTCCGTAACATGGCCGTTGTCCTGACCTTTCGCCACTTTGTCAAGGTAAGCTTTGGATTTCTTGGCAGTTAGCTGACTCCAGCTCCTGCACCAGGCCGCGTCGACGTCGTCCCCCTTCAGCTACGCGGGATACACAAAGGACGTTGCCGCGCTCGAGTCCGCACACCCGATTGCAATGTATCGCCGGCTGACGGAACCGTCTGCGCGAAAGCGGGAGCGGGGCGCGACACTAGGCCGCGCTTGGGCCGAGTGCATGGACAAGTGGATGGAGGAGCTGGGCATGCGGGAGAAGGCGCTCGGCAACGTCCACGTCAACAACGGCAACTACGTGACTGCCGCATTAGCTTATACGCGCGCGATCAGCCTCGACGGGAAGAAGACGGTGTACTACACGAACCGCGTCGTCGCGCTCAACGCGATGGGCGAGCACGAGGCCGCCGAGGCGGACTGTACGCGTATCCTGGGCAAGGATCCCAAGAACTCGAAGGCGTACTACCAGCGCGCCCTCGCGAGGAAGGGGCTCGGCAAGTGGCGTGAGGCAGAGCAGGACCTCAACATGGTCATCAAGCTGCAGCCTAATGAGAGCGCGCGGAATCTCCTCGACACGGTCCGCGCCGAGGTTAAGAAACTGCCCAAACTGAGGCATGAAGATGTCCTGAACTTCTAGACGGAGGGGCGAGTCAGTGTACGATTTAGTGTTATCTGTGAGGACGGTGTAGGCGGCAGAGAGGCAAAGAGGTCGAGGCTACAGCGTCCTCCCTCCAGTGCTACCCATAGCGTTACCCATACTCTTATATTCGATGTAAGCTAGTCTTCATCTCGATCCTCATCTCGGTTGCAGCAGTTGCGAAACTATGATGGGTGATGCATATGTCCAAATTCCGACGGGGTCGGGCCTAGTTGTATAAGTCGATCTTGCTGTGGTCGCCAGTCGGGCGAGCGATGGTGTCGGAAAACGTTGGGGGTGTTGTGCTGAGATGGGAAAGTCGTGTTCGGGGCCGCCTTACATGCCGTCCTCGGTGGATCCAACCTCCTCCTGTCCCTTCCACTCCTTCGCGACCTTCTTGACGCCCCCTCTCCTCTCCGCAATCTCGAGGACGCCATCGAGACCAGGCCTGACGTCGCGCTTGCCCCCGTCGCGCTCCCAAGTACCGAACAGGGTCTCCTTGACGATCATCTCGCGCTCCGACAAGTTGCTCTCTCGCGCGTACGGGTCGGGGTCGCGGAACGCGTTCCGCGTCATGCGCGCGGGCTGGAAGGAGCCGGCGACGCGGCGCGCGCCGACGCCGTTGGCACTGCGCTCGGCCATGATCTCGATGCCGGCGTCGCCGCGGAGCGCCATCTCCGCCCGCGTCCGCTTCGCATATGACGCGTACGACTCATACTCGGGCCGCTGGTAGCGGAACGTCTGCTCGAAGACGGTCGGGATCTCCTCGGGCGACCGCATGAAGGTCGCGCTCTGGTGGTGCAGGGAGACCAGGTTGCGCAGCGTCGACGCCGTCGCTTGCCCGCCCGGCAGGACCGCCGCGTACCGCGGCGAAGGGTTCGGTTGGGCCACCTTCTTCAGAAGAGACGAGGTCGCGCGCATCGTGGTGGGCGTCGTCGTGGTGTGGGGTGGGTGTAGGGTGCGACGGTGGATGTGAGTGTGGGTGGACTGCTTTCGTAGGAAAAGTCGGGCGGACGAGCAAGAGTGCTCAATCCAGGCACCGTGCCACACGTCATTTACCACGTGCCCTTATCACCCGATTCACCAATGTCGTGAACAATCCTGGCATCATCGGGCGAGCAAGCAACAACTACTTGCAATCCACACGTCTTGCATACCCGCAGCGTTAACCTTCGCGACGACTCCAACGCCAAAAGACTCGCCGAGACCGACATCCCGAGTCAATATCCTTCCTCCTTCCCGATCCCCGCAGGATCCGACTGCGATATCGTGACGACAACCTTCCTTTCGATTGAGCGAACGACTTTAGCCAACTTTAGACAACATGGCCAACCTCGGCGTCCCCGTCAAGCTCCTGCACGAGTCACTCGGACACATCGTCACCGTTGAGCTCAAGACGGGAGAGATGTACCGTGGAAAGTTGATGGAGGGTGAGTAACTCGCGACTGGCCGGCGCGCGAGCGCCGGACGACAGCTGTTGTTTTGACATTGAACATCGTGCTGACGCTTGTTCTTGTACGCGCTTCATCTCTCTTACATTAACCCCCTCACATATGCCCATGCTCGCTTGCTGGACTATGCTCAACCGCCGTTCATTTCCACCTGGATCTCTTGAACTTGTCGGATTGCTGGACTGTTGAATCTCGAAACCCTCGGCCGACCTGACCCTTCCCCTCGATCTGTCGTTTTTCCGTCATCGACAACCACGACTGCTCCTGACCATCCCCCACCCCTCTTGATACTGTGCACCCTTCATATCAACCCAACAGCCGAGGACTCGCTCAACATGGCGCTCAAGGACATCACGGTGACCGCGCGCGATGGCCGCGTCTCGCAGCTCGAGCAGGTGTACATCCGCGGCAGTATGGTGAGTTCACGAGCAGCGAAGTGACGAGGGCGCGACGAGCGAGCATGACAGGAGTGGGCATTGTGTATCGAGATCTGGGCGATCGACACGTTGCGGTGGGCGCGCCGTGTCAGACTCAAGACTCAGATCAAGCCATCCCGACTCCTATCCTTCCGGACCTCCAGCCCTTTCTCCTCCCGGTGGCCGGTTGGATGGGCGAGGGCTGGCTCGTCGGCTCCCTCTCCCCTCTCGTCTCTTCCCAGGCGAAGCTATGCCTCAGTGTTCACAGCTGACATACAGGTGCGCTTCATCATCGTGCCCGACCTCCTGGCGCACGCGCCAATGTTCAAGCGTGTCGGCCCCAACGCGATGCGTGGGCGCGGTATCGGAGCTGCGCGTGGAAGGGCGACGATCCAGAGGGCGATTTCGCGTCGTGGAGGCCAGCCGAGGAGTCAGGGTGTGCGTCGTTAAGCCTAGGTCTGCCGGCCGTCAGGCCGGGAGACCGAGGGCGAGGGCGAGGCGGAGACGATGATGTGGGCGACGTAGAATATGGAGCTGAAGATGAAGAAGACGCTCCGCCTGCTCTTCTCCTTGCTCCGTCTCTGGCTCTCTGTGACTGTACGCTTAGTTGCGTCGAGGGAGGAACGGAGGGCGAGAGAGGAGAAGTGGAGATAGGGAGGAGGCGGCGAGGCGGAGACGACGAGCAGACGATCGGAGCTCGAGGGTGAAGGTGATCGAAGAGGCTACCGACTAGACACAGTATACCAGATATGTAACCAACATTGACACGGCGTGCCAGGCGCACACGACTCACCACTCACACTCACTTTGCTCATCTTTTCCTTTCATTGAGGTTATAGTGCAGCACACTGCCATTCGAGAGGCTATACTCACAACAGCTCCATCCATTTCCCTGACCACTCCGCTCGCTTCGCTCGCTGCGATCAAAACATTTCATGTCATCATACAACTGTACTTAAGGAGGTGTAAAGGGGGCTACGGTCTATGGGCAAATGTGAGGAGGTCGTTAAAGCGAAAGCGACGGCGGAGAGGGTTTGAAACAGTTTTGGGGGGAGACATGGGACCTGGTCTGGACTTGGGCTGGCCCGGACTTGCGCAGGTCTGGAGTCCGGAGTCTGGAAGAGTCGGAGGTCTGGACAAATCGGGGCATCGGGGCATCGGGGCATTGGGGCAGCGGGGCATGTGGCGGGGCAGAGTCGTAAGCGGGCGCAGAAAAGGTCGAGACGCAGGACATGGAGGAACACAAAGAAGACAATGGACAGGCCTGCTGTTGTCTAGAGGCGGTATGTGAGGGTTTTGGGGGCAGTGTGCAGATTGTTTTCGAGTAGTTTGGTTTGGGGGTGTGGGATGTATCGTTCGAGATGGGCCGGAGATGCAGGAGATGTCAACGCTCGCTGCGCTTGCGGCTCACTCGGTCGCGCCGATCTCCTTGGTGTGCGCGGATGCCGCGTCCATCTCGAGCTGGCCCTGGAACAGGGGCGGGCGGTCGAGACTCGCGCTCGGCAGGCCCTCGTCGTCCGTCGTCGCTCCGCTGTGTCCTGCGCTGTGGCCCGCACTGTGCCCGGCGCCGGTGTGCCCGGTTGCCGGCTGTTGTCCCGCCTGGCCAGCCTGACCAGCCCCGGGCTGGACATGCTGCTGTGCGGGCGACTGCCCGAGCCCCGGCACAGAGCCGATGGGGATGTTAGGCAGCGAGTCGCGCTTATTGTTCCCGCCGACGCCGCGGACGACGCCCGTGTGGCCCCTTGGCGGGCTGTTGGTCGAGTACGGCGAGGTGAGGGACTGGCGGCGCTCCTTCTTGCTCGAGAGGGCGGGGGATGAGCGGCCGACGCCCGCGACGCCGACGCCGCCGGTCACCACCCCTTCCTTCGGCGACGACCAGGGCAGGTTGAAGCCCTTCTGGTACACGCCGGGCGAGACGGTGCTGGGCGGCGTGGCTGGCTGGCCCTTCTCCCCCATCACGCCGACGTTGATCGACATGGGCACGCTTGGGCCCATCATGTTCCCCGTCGACGGGTTAATTGTGCCCTGCACCCCGCCTGGCATCTGCATGCTCGTGGGTAGCATGCCGGGGACAGAGCCGGCGCCGAAGTTGACGGGGCCAACGTTGTTGGTCATCTTCGGGTCGACGAAGCCGTAGAACTGCATCGGCGGTGAGGGACGCATACCTTGTCCGAGCAAGCCCATGCCGCGGCGCGACCACGAGCTCACGTCGTCAACCCGGTATTGCGGCTGCTCCGCCGAGCCGCGCAGGAAATCATCCTCCTCGATGGCGTACTGGTCCTCGATGCCGAGGTTGGCCATGGACGCGTTTGGGCTGAAGGTCGTGCTGGCGAAACTTGCGACGGATCCGACCGAGGCGTCGCTGCCTGCCCGGCTTGCGGGGCCAAAGGACGAGACGCTGTGCATCGAGAACGTCCCCGCTGTCGCTGGCGCGCTGGAGGGAGCAAAGCTGTTCGTCATCGAAATGTCCTTGAGGTCTTTCAGAATCGGGCGGCCTTCGGGGATACCTGAGCGTGACAGGCTCGTCGGCATAGAGTACCTCCGTGAGCTACTGCTGTCCTTGCGGTCGATGGCGAACGCGAGCGGGTACGCTTCAGGCAGTGGTGGACCCTGTGTCGCTGGTGTGGGCTCGGGGCCAAAGTTTGTTCGCGTGATGGTCTCGAAGGGAGCACGAGTAGGGATGTACTTGGGCAGTTTAATGTTCTCTGGCCCGTGGCCGAACTGGAACACGGGCTTGTTCTCGTCGAGCCCGCCCAGCAGACCAGCGTACGGGTCCACCGCGGAGGGTGGACCGACGAACGAGTCGCTGTCGCTCGAGTTCATCTCGGCAGCTATCCTCTGCGCGTTCTTCTGCGCCTGAGACGGTCGAGGCGGCACGCGCCGTTTGAAGCCGAGGATGTCCTCTTTGGTGCTGCTACGACGCAGGAACGGGTGGGCTGTAGAGAACGACGTCAGTCCAGGCTTTCATATGATGTCAACGAGCGCAGTCGAAACGGCACGACTAGCGGGAACCGGTCTGCCCAGTTCCGCAGTGCCGCATCTTTCCGCCACACTCGCGTCAATCAGCATGACTCACACCAGGTGCTCGCGTCGGGGTCATGGATGCCACTCTCGACGTGGCGAAGGCTGACCTTGCGCATCCATCCGTAAATCTGGGGTCGATGTCAGACATGCCCACGCTGTTGCCCACTTACGTTCAGCTGCCGAGAGAAACTGGCGAATCGGCTCTGGCGATAGACCATGGGCAGAATCTTCTCGGCAAGCTCGTCGGGCCGCTCGATGATGATCATTTCGCCGGTGTCGTCCCATCGAATAATCTGTCATGTCAGTTCACGACAGTGGGCTCCGGAACTTACGTGATGATACTCTTGTCGGTCCCTTGGAAGACGTCAGTCATCTTCGCTCTGCGCAGTATGACAATAAATGGGCTCACAATAAACTGCGGCAAGTCAGCAAAGATTCGAATTGTTTGTTGTTGCATGCGCGCATCCCGCAGCCGCCAATCAGCCTTAGTGGGCTGCGTCGGTGCGTCACTCGGGGCACTCACTCATACAGCTTTGTCAGGAACGTGGGCTGTTTGCCGTCCGCTTTCTTGTGATTCTTTCCCTTCTTTGGCATCCGGACAGGTGGGGGAAGAGGCTGCTGCAGCGCTGGGTAGCAGTAGGGATCGACCTGGGCCATCTGCTGGGGCAGCGGGTGCAGTAACGATGACGAGGTGGCACCAGCCATGGTCGACGGTCCGGCGCCTGGCACACCAGGCATCACCCCAGGCGCCCCTCCGAGCATACCCGAACTCGGGTCAAGACCCCGTGGAGTGAAGAAATCGCTCGTCGTCCCGAACGCACGTAATGCTCCGCCGGCCCCACTTGCACTCGGCCCACCCAGGCCCCCACCAGGACGCCCAGGCATCCCCGGCGACGCCTGCTGTGCATGGCTTCCGTGCAGCGGGCCAGTGGCCATGGTCGTGTCCCACGGTCGATGTACTTGACTCTGGGGCTGCTGCTGTGGAAGATGCGAGTAGTCGAACAAAGGCTGCTGTGGTATCCCAGGGAGCATGGTGCTGCCGTACTGGAATTTCGAGGTCGGGAGGTCGAGAGACTCGGCCGTGCCCATCGAGGAGGAGTGCGAGTGCACATTCGGTGCGCCCACCCATCTTGGCTGGGGTGTCTTGATTGGTGAACTCGTTCCCGACGCGTTGACACCATTCGCACCACCGCTGAACGTGCTGCCGCTGTGGCCAAGAATCGGGGTGCCAGTGGCGAGCATGGACTTGCTGTCGCCGTTCATGGTGTAGGATGAGGACGCGGTGGAGGCAGCAGTGCCTGGAGGAGCCGAGGCAACAGACATGGAGGAAGACACTGGCGTCGATGTGTGGAGGGACGCCGAGGTGATTGAGGGTGATGCCGAAGGCACTTGTGAGCCTGCCTGGACCGCTGGAGCAGCAGTCGAGAGGAGGTTGGCAAGACCAGTAGACGTTGGCTCGTGCCCAGCACCTGCACCAGTACTACTGGCTCCGTGCCCTTCGGGTTGAGGTTTGCTAGCTAGATCGTACTCTCCCTTCATCAACAAGTCGGGAGTGGCGAGGTTGGAGATGAGAGCGCAGCTCATGTACAACGATGAGGATAGGCAGAGACTAGAGTCAAGTAAGTTCGAGACTCGGCGAAGTCGCGTGTGACGATGGAGGAAGGGACGAGTGGTAAAGCTTATCGACAGCCAAAGCTGAGTCACTCTGTGTGGATGGATGGGCCCTAGAGGGACGAGGGACTTGAGTTTGCCACTCGGGGCGGAGGGGCGATGACGAAGTGTGCTTTCCGAGGTATGCTTAAGAGGGAGTTGTACGATGAGAGGGGGGGAGAGTCGTGCAAGTGGATGGAGGAGTGCGGTGTGGAGGGGGTGAGGTGCTTCCGACACGTTCAGCTGGGTCGGGTACCGTGGTCTTTGTTCCGGAGGCAGAGAGGCAGACGCGGAGCGGAGGCTTGGTTGCGGGCCGAGGCCGAGCTGCCTTGAGGCGGTGGCGACAGATGGCCAGGCAAAAGGGTGTGCGGCGTGCAGTGCGAAGGCGTGGGGTGTGGTGCGCGGCGTGTGCTGCGTACTGCGTGATGTATGACGATGGCAAAGCAGGACAACAAGTTCCCGACCGAGTTATACGGTCGTGCGAGGGGAGGAGGAGAGGGAGCTGATAACGGTGATGGGAGAGTCTGGTCGGCACAATCCGTCGAGCGTCAAGCGCCCAGACACTGGAACTGTGCAAGGCCGAGTGGCGTGGGTACAGTGCAGATGATGTCGATGCCCGCTCCAGGGCGTGACAGTGACTCCCAGCCGATTGGGGGATTCACCAGATCCACTGATGGGGTGTAATGTCGACGTGTTTCACTTGCGTAACAACAACAGGACACGCGAGGCAACGGGCGGGACGTAGGCGAGGCTGCGGTGCGAGGTCAAGCAGAGAGGAGCCAGTGCGGCGAGGTCCTCTGGAGGTGGAAGGCAAGAGGAGACGTCGGAGGAGAACGGTGGTGCAGTGGGAAACTGGTCAAGAGGATCCAGAGCGCACAAGTGGCTCAAAGTCGAACTGTTCGATCGGTCGTGTCTTTCCTTGTCACTTTTCCTGCCTGGCGAGTCGCTGTCTGTCGGACACCGGGACGTAGATACGCAGGTGCCCTCTGTCGTACTCGTGTGCTCTGGTCTCAAGCTCTTGGAGGGATTAAGGCTGTTTCGATGGTTTCTGCCGAGGGCCTTTGGCTGTTTGTGTATGGAACGGGGCAATGAGGGGGGCGCTGTTCCGAACACTCCGCCGACCAAGATGGGAAACAAGCGGCAGGTGTGCAGAGAACAACAAGATAACTGCGAGGGAGCAACGGCCGCTGATCACCCTGCGGCTGAGGCTGATCCGTTTGCCTCTGTTCGAGGCAAAGCCGGTCAAAGTCGCAAACGCTGCCCTGTGCTATGCACGGTGGCGTATGAAAATCCGCTGGCCCTCTGGGCGATCTGGACGCGGGTTGCGAAACACTGGTCGGGAAAGGCGTCGGAGGTGAACGACGAGGAGAGGTGATGAAACCGGGGCTGGGGCGATCGGTGGTCACCTGGTCGAGCACAGATGTATGGAGGGGAGAGCAAAGAGGAGGTTGTGAGATCACAAGGGGCTGAAAGGGGAAACCGGGGGAGGATACCGAGAATCAAACGCCAGCTAGTTGACTATCTATGGTCTGAAGCGACGCAGTCTTCGGGAATCGGAGCTGGAGCTGTGGACTGGGGAGTGATGGACGAGATGGGAGATGGGCGGTCGTGCGGGGCTGAAGGCTTGGAGCACGGTACCTATGAGGTTACGAGGGTGTGCGAGGGGGGTACGGAGTAAACTGAGGAATGATAACCGAATAGGAGGGTGGTTACTAGAAGGGCTTGATCGTTGGGAGGGTCTCAGAGGGGGCCTCGATATTGTCGGTGCATGCGATCAAGGGTAATGAGATCAAGTAGGGACGAGATGCCGCCGGGCCGTGTGCGACGCAGCGCAATGACAGACCGGGTGAGAGACCGGTGAAGGGGGGCGTGGAGGTCCGGGGCGGGTTGGGCGTGGGCTGTGAGATGGGTTTGTCTTGTGGGGTCAGGTATTGTCTGTGGGGAGGCGACAGGGCGGACCAGAGACAACAGCCTGAGGAATGCCAAGGGGGGAGTGGAGGCAGACGATGCTGTTGTCAGGTGTTGGACGGCCGGACTCTAGGACGATGCTTGTTTGTGATGTCGGGTGCCGGATGACGGATGTTGATCGATGGCGGGATCTACCAGCTAGTGGTACGATATTTGGAGTAATCGAAACACGAGACAGCGACGGCGACCAGAAACACTTGTGAGGGACAGGCGACACAGACACCAGGTACCAGTTGATCCAGTGACGGGGTGACGTTTGCTTGTACACGGCGGTGTCTGAGCGTGTGGTTCACTGCGGTAGTTACAACGGGCAGGGCAGTGGTCGAAAGAAGCGAGAGCAACACGAGGACTGATCAACCGTTCCGGGCGACTTGGCAACAGTGCGGTGGCTCAGCGCACGGCGTGCACGCAGGCTATGGCTGGGAAGGCTGGGCTGAGGGCGTTGCGAACAGATCTCTTACTCTTTCAGACTTCACAAACATGCCTGGTGCCCGAGGGTGGGACGTCCGGAGGGCGGAGTGTCTCTTGAGCGAGGCTGAATACGGGAGGGCACGCGGGCCCAGGTTGGGAGGCACGTCGCCTTGACTATGTCGAGTATCCGATGCGTAACTGATTGTTTGTTACATGGTTATGCGCATAGCTAGCCTCGTGGGATTAGCGCCGTAGAGCATGCTGGGCTCCACCAGAACGACTGAGTACGTGGACCAGCCAAACGTCCGATTTAGCGCTTTAGCCCATATCGATGCCCGTTTCATTGTAAGCCGACGAAGGCCGCCTGCATGTCTTGGATCGAGACCAAACGTGAGGCTGGGGGCTCAGGTCTAGCCAATGCCGCATCTAGTAAGGTTGAAGATTGCCGGACCTTGATGCTTGAAGGGCGTATCGGCCACAAGAGCAGCATGAGGGCAACGTTGGAGCAACCGTAACGTGGGCCGAGGAGGCAGAGCAGAGGCAGAAGCAGAGGCAAATCGAGGCTTGGAGCGGTGTCACAGTGCCGCTTGTCCAGCATGATACTGCGGAAGAGCTGAGGTCAGTGGCCGGCGAGGCTCAGCACGAGTGAGACAATAACGGGTAAGGCTGGAGACAGAGGCGAGGAGAAATCTGACAAAGAGCTATCAAGAAGCTCGGGGGTGCTGCACAAAGTGCCCGTCGCGTTGGCCCGCTCGCCTGGTGGTCTGATGCGGTGGCGCTCCAACGCCGTGGTCCGCAGGCACATCGCGGTGCTCGAGCGCAGAGTCGAGGTCATGTCGCCTTCACGCAAGCCAAGGCACCGAGGTACGGAAGGGTGGCTCAGCAGTGCATGCAGGTGTCCGCAGACGAAACGACCCGAACAGTCTACCGGCGGCGAAGAACGTACCGCCGGACGAGGTTGATCCCGAAGAGGCGATTGTGCATGCATTGCAAACTGTGCACTGCGGACCGACGTGCAAGAGTGACAGAGCAAGCTTGCGCGGTCAGAGAGTGAGGAATGCAAGCCACACGCTTAGACATTTGGAAACGTGGATTTTTCGTCATTTCGTTCAATATCTGGTCTTTTATATCTACAGTAACACAAGAACGCGAATCAAACAATACAATGCACTTCAAGCTCGAACTCTCCTGAAGTCTATCATTGCTTCTTTGCTAGTCGGATTGTTCTCTGAGTCGCATGTGCTAGAAGTGCCTTTGCAACGTGGGGAGAACAATAGAAAATATGTCGACATTCGCGCTTGATTTCGGGGCCGGGCGGTGCCACGCACAGACCCCACTGGCCCTGGGGTGGAGGAGCCTGCTCCAGCTCCTACCCCGCGCCAGCAGCCATCAAGCCACATGAAAGAGTCCCCCGCTCACGGCGCTCGCGGTCAGTGAAGAGGCTTGATGGCGCAGTCTGGGCGTGCGGCGCAAGTTATTCGGGTCATGCAGGCTACGCGTCGGCCAGGGATGACCAGCGGACGGCCCAACCCCAACCTGCGGACGGTGTCGCCACAGCGGAGCACTGATCGGAATGTACCTATGACAATCCTCGCATGCTCAAATCCACCCTGTGAGTTACTCGGATAAACCATACCCGCCCCCTTGTGTTGGCTGTCTTGACCTCAGAATGTAATTAATGACCCGAGGCGTCGTCCGCAGTCGCCAGTGACAACCTCGTGGACCCACATGGCACTTCGACGAGACCTTCCTCAACGCGTAATGTGCGGCTATAACACGCACTAATGACGGACGTGCAGGACGTGCGTGCACAGCTCACCATGGAACCAACGCCATCCCCGACTACACTACGTTACCGGACGCCGCTGCACTGGAGTCTCGCCCGCCGCCCCGTACGCCTCACGCTTGTCGCGGGGCCCAACCCCGGGCGGAAACACGAGGCAACGGCCCATCAACCGGAACCACAAACCCGTCGGACGCTGTGCACGCTTACGCTCCAGGATGAGGCTGCGGGAGACAGGCAGCTCGTCTGTCCGATTCGGTGGGGGTCCCGGCTATCGCGCGATCAGCACATAGTGCGAGTTCGCCCGAGTCGCAGTTGTCCACATGATCAGAGGTGTGGAGGGCGGTTTCGGAGTTGGATCGGGGAATCAGATGATCAGATCCCAGGCTCGATCTCAGGCTCGTCCAGAACGCCAGTCTTGCCCGGCGCTTGTCCCACTCTCGTCATAGCTTGAGTCGCACCCACTTGCTGATCCACTGCGCGTACCACTGTGCACCGTTGTGTCGAAGTGACACATCTCCAACACTCGAACGACCAGTTTCACCCCATCCCACTAGTTCTCCTCCTCGTTCCATGCATATTAGTCCGCCCGACAAGGTGGTTTGGAACACTTCCCCCAGCATTGGGGCTCGCAGTGACGTAGTGATATCGAGTGGGTGACCTTGAGAGCTAGAGCACGGGCCATCCCTCTCACTGGAGTTGAACAGTCGGCCCGGCATACGGTCCGAATAGCAGGCGCTCGGTAACAGCGCCTTCTGCCACATCGTGCCTGCACGCACCAGCGTGTTCCTGCTTTCGCCGCCGGGGTGCCTCCTCATCACCCTTCCACTTTTGTGAGAACCGACGGCCCCAGCGATGCGCTGACACACTGCACCACCACAGGGGAGAGTAGAGGTGGGCCGCTCTTCCATAATCTCCAAAAAGGAGGCGTTAGGGAGTAACTGAATACTCTCTTGACGAGAGTGGGATTCGAACCCACGTCCGAAGACTGCGGAGATGAGCAATGTTCACCTTAACACAGCGCCTTAGACCGCTCGGCCATCTCGCCTGACGGTTTCGCAGCTCCGCGGCAGACTAAGACCCTTGTCCCCGTGACGGAAGCAAATCCACGTGCTCATTGTTGCCACAGGCTGACTTCATGCGACTTCACTGATGGCAACGAACCTTCACAACAACCTCATCTCACGTCTACACCGCCATGGACGCAACGGGGCTCGACGCAGGCCCATCGGCATACGACGCGAATGCGTACAGCCTGAACTCCCCCGATGCGGGGCCTTCGAATGACCCGCCGCCAAGTGGAAGGGGTCGGGGTCGCGGACGAGGAAGGGGTCGAGGCCGAGGACGCGGTGGAGGGCGACAAAGCACGCGATTAAGCACGCGGCAAGCTGCGAGCGCGGGACCGACAAAGCTCAAGATTTCGTTCAAGGCGTCTGGTGGTGCGGCCGCCTCGGGAGGACGCATGCAGTCGTTCCTCGGCGAGTACGACCGCGAGCTTGACGACAACCCAGAAGACCCGCTCGCGTTCGAGGAGCAGTTCATCTTGCGCGTCCCGCCATCAGTGGCTGACGGGAAGAACGGCGAGCTCGGTCTCCGCGACTTGATCAAGGGCAAAGGACGAGGTCTCGACGCACTCGAGTTCAAGATGCTTGACCCGCGCCGCGGCGTGTTCAAGATCGGCGATACGACGTACACTTCCAAGCTCGTCGACCTGCCTAATATCATCGAGTGCCAGAAGACGCTCGACAACCGACACTTGTTCAAGGTTGCCGACATCTCGCAGATGCTCGTCGTCGAGAAGCCCGTCCAGAATGAGGCGTCCGTCACGAGCACGCCGCTCAATGTGGACGACTACATCTGGCCCCACGGCATCACACCCCCGCTCCGACACGTTCGAAAGCGCCGCTTCCGCAAGCGTCTGTCACGACGAACAATCGAGGTCGTTGAGGAGCAGGTTGAAGAGCTCCTCAACAAGGATGACGACGCGGACGAGACCAGTTTCGGTAGTTTACAATTGTATTTGCCCTAACTAACATCAGACCTGATCGATGTGAACCCCGATCCCGATGTTCCCGACTCGTACTACGTGAACTGGAGTGCGGAGGACCCATATGCCGGCTGGCAGCCCGAAGGCTCCGAGTACGGTGGCGAGGAGTACCAAGCCCAGCCCGAGGGCGAGTGGTACGACGAAGAGGAGTACCCGGAGGAGGACGAGAACGAGATGGACGAAGACCTGCAGGCCGCGCTCATGGACCAGCTGGAGCAGTCTGAGTCAGAGGGCGAGGGTGACGAGGACGAGGATGGTCTCTCCGCGTCCGAAGACGAAGAGGAAGAGGAGGCCGCGGAGGACGACGATCCCGAGGTGGCCGAGCGCAAGCAGAAGATTAAGCAGTACACGTCGGAGATCAAGCAGTTAGAGCAGTTAATCGAGAAGAAGCGCGCTGGCTTCACGGGATCTGGCAACCCAATCATCACGAAGCGTTTCGAGGAGACGATCAAGGGCCTCCAGGACGATATCAACAACAAGGTGTCGGCGCGCCAGGCGCTGCAGGACGCGATCGACGAGCGGCGCAAGGAGAAGGAGGCTGCGGACAACCCGCCGCCCTCTGCCGCCGAGGCAGCCGAGGGCGAAGCGGCAGAGGAGTCGGAGCCGGACGACCTCTTCGACGACGACGAGGGCGACGCGGACGCCACGCCAATCGGTACTCCCATCACGCCCGCGGCGCCCACGCCGGGTCCCGACGAGATCCCCGATCTCCCCTCTGGAGCCGGGGACGACGACGACGACGAGGACCTGTTCGGCGACGACGAGCTGCTCGATGACCCTGCGCCGGAAACTGCGCCTGCTGCGCCAGCCGCAGGCGAGGGCGAGTTCCTCGCCAACGAGATGGACGACATGGACGAGATGGCCGAGCTACTCGAGGCGAGCCTGAACCAGGCGGACGAGGAGGGCGGCGGCGAGCCAATGGAGGGTGTCGAGGGCGCGGACGGTGCCGATGGCGAGATTGGCGATCAGGCTGCGGCCACGGCGGCGCTGGATGAGTTCATGATGAGTGCCGAGGCGCGCGACCCGGGCTATGGGTTCGTGGAGGGCGGCGTCGGCATGCGCCGCCTGGCTACGGGCGTCGACGACTCGAGCGACGAGGAGAGCGAGGACTCGGACGACGATTAGTGTTCTAGAGTTCATCAGCCCCGCTTGAAGGGGGCTGTAGTTGTACATCAGACATGTAAACATTGACACTACGTTGCTCATGTGAGATCGTTAGTCGCAAGAAGCGTGGTGCACACCGCGCGGGGTATCAGCGATTCCGCGGAGTAGGGAGAGAGGTCTCGAGGTCGTCTATCTGATACGCCTTTGCCATGCACTGGGATCCCAGTCAGTCCACGCCCAGCCCTCTCGGCCGTCATCTCGGAGCAAACGGAAGAGCGAAGCGCGTTCAGAGGTCTTGACACAAACCTTCATGGCCATTCCAGGACACACCGTACCCCTCTGTCCCTAATCTGAGCTCGTAGCCCATCCGCCTCCATTCTATCAGCCAGCACCGCCAAGACCACGCGACTGGTTAGTGGAAGAGCAGATGGCCCAGTTCCTTTGGAGTGCTCGTTCCAGACCGCTACTCAAGTGCGCGAGCCAAGCCCGAAAAAGATGGCGTTTCCAGGATGCATTGGGCCGTCCCTGGCGTTCGTCGTTCGCCGAAATTGAATCTCCGACATCGTGCCCTCGTGAGCCCAGGTGAGCGGGGCAACCCCAGATTCACCCCTGCCCTATTCCTCTCGAAGCAATCCCCGGACTAACTAGTGCTCTTACGTTGATACTTCTGGGCAGGGGAGGTGAGGGGCAGAAGGGAGGGGGAAGGAATGGAGACAGAGGCGTTGCGGTGAGTCGCTTGTGTCGGCTGCTCACCATGCGTTCGCTACGATGAGGGGTCGGCCTCGAAGGACCCCGGAACACCCACCTGGATAGCTGGGTTCTCTTGTGCTAGACTCTGACACGCCGAGCATAGAGGGG